AATCTCAAAGTGCCCTTTCCCACCTGCACCCCCCCCCCCTAGACAAAATCCTGCATCCGCCCCTGTACTCCCTAACCCTAACCCTAACCCTAACCCTAACACTAACCCTAACCCTAACCATATCAGATAGTTACTAGGGTACGTTCCGATATATCAAACCGTACCCAGGGTACCCTCCGATAGTACCCTGGGGGACATAGACCCTATGAGCTCTAGTAATCGAGTACGTATTAGGTTAGTCGGACAGATATTCTTTTTTAACAAAACCTCTCGTCTCTTATATGTTCTGGGGTAATAATTAGACACCAGTCCTTCCGCGGTGTAACTAGAAAAGTTGGCCATGCCGGTAATGCGGCCAATGATTGACTTAGGATAACAGATCGCGTTTATTTAACGCGGCAGTTGTGTTCGCGTGATGACGCCACACAGCGCCATCTATCGTCGCTCGGCATTGTGAATTGTGAATTAAATAGCGGGAAATCTATCGGCATACTGCACGCAAGATGGCGTGCGCGTAGACGTGATTACCTTCCACTGCAATTAATTCGACCCCAGTAGGGGGTGTCTATATTCAAGCCGGTACGGGAGATTACGATACGCATATATTTGCTAATATATTGATTAATCGTGCGTCAATAAACTCAATATTCACAGAGAGTATAGCTAAGACATGTGTCTATAGGTATCTAGAATTTATTATCTATAATTAGTATCGCACCCTGGAATAATTACATTTCATCAGTTCAAGATTCTTTCGAGTTTCATGAATATGGAATGAGTAAGTGATTTTAGATCCTTATATTTTGTGACTAGTAGGACCAGGTCAATTACGTGTATCTATGAGGGGAAACATAATCCTATAAAATAAATCAAATAAGAACTCAATGAAAATTGGCATATTATTGCTTTAAAATGTCGGGATCTGAACTCATCTTTATTAACTGGTACGCATAAAAAAGTTACTACCGACGTTTTCTAGGCAAAACACGTTTGTTTATTATAACCATTGCTACCGTACATACATATGTCAGGATAATTCGGCCGTAATAGTGCACAAAGCGACACCGCTAATAAAACTGGCGCCATCCATAATTAAGCATCGAACATAAATCTTACAGCAAAATGCAGCATCCCATCTTCATTGATCTTTAAGATTCAATTTCCTTTACAAGTATCAACCTTTTTTCTATCGCAACACACAATAGTGACGCGACTATGAGTAGCTGAACTACATGGCCGCTGCTTCACAATGCCAAGTATGTATTATAATTCTGATTCAGTGTAACGTGTTTTACTAAACTGCATACTAATTACCATGTTAGTTACATGTAACGATGACATGAAATGATGACTAACCTTGTGTTTCCTTCCACCAATACTTGTCAAGCTGCAAACAGTTATTTTGCTGTCTAAGCAAAGCAAAATGAATTCAAAATCTCCTTACTAGGAAATTGATTGCGCATTTTATTAAAAATTATATTCGTGATGTGAAATTGCTGCACGTACACATGCAGGTCATTCATAATAATGAGTTGCTGTGCTCGTGTGTTACGTCGTTTTATGATCGATAATTAGTGCAGCGGGATATGTTTAATTTTTGGTACAATATGTAGCTTCAGTAATTAATTTCTGAAGTTGTGGAAAGCTTCCTGTATGCATTTCTTACGTGCATGAGCTAGGAAGATAAAAGAAATTCGTATTTTCATGTAAAAACAAACAAACGATTGATTTAACAGGCCGTTTCCCTAGCTAGTCATAACTGCAGAATTTTGCCATCATCATTTAAGTACACATCCGTTTCCGACCCATTATTTAAGCGTCCATACTTTGTCTAACAAACGGTACGTCATCTATCTATCTATCTATCTATCATCTATCTAGTCAGCCGTTCGTACAAATATCATGTCTAGCACGATTGTAGCTAACCAACCACAGTAATGCTCCCGTAATCGCAGTAGCGATTTCGCAACGAGCTATGTAAACGATAACGGAAGGCTCTGGCCGGGCTAATGGCATGTTCCACTCATTAACATCCATGCACGGACACTGCAGAGGAAGCTGGGCGATTTGCGAAAGGCCATTGGCCAGGGGTAGGCTATCCATGCCGAAGGACGTCTATTTCCGTAACTTCTCTGGTCAAACATGAATGCATTTCGCAAAGTGCACGGTTTTACATGTGAGACTAGATCACGAAAATCGGCAGGTAGACGCTTGAAATCAAAGCTGTATCGCGAGCCCAGACTATTGGCATTATTATAGTGATGTGTGTACGCTAGGTGTAGAGTTGTCTAAGGCAAGACTTAGTAGACAAGTATTGCTACGCCGCGCGTTGACAGTGCCATTAAACATGTGCTATCATAGAATGGCTTACTTAGAGAAGCTGGCTAAAGAGGCTTGCTTCGTTTTACACGTTCTGCTTCTACTTACTTCATTCCAAAAAAACTACAACGGCACTTCTACAATTTGGAACTAATGTTCCCAGAGGTTTTACGTGGTCGGTTTACCACATGCCTTTTGCGGTTTGGAGACGTGACGAGACGATGGAATTTGCAGCGGTGTATATATATAGACACCTGCGTAGCGGAATTTACCGGCAGCTATACGGTTACGCTAGGATCACCTGCTGCCCATTACATTACATGAAAAATTATCGTCTTCTATGTGACTTGAACGTACTGCGCTAATGCTTTGGGCAGAGTTCCCCAAGAGAAAATGACAATAATGTTAACTATTTACGAAATTGACAGTTAAGCCGCGTCCCTTGGGGCGTTGTTGGAGGGACTCTCAGCAACATGCTACTCTAATTAGTATGACAAGGTTAAAAATATATGTTTAATCTCCCCTTAATTACGCCGGGTTGATTAAATTTGTTGTTGTAATAATGTGCATGTTTCAGGAAGCGTGCTTGCCTCGTTTCTTACTGAACTCAAAAACCCATCGCCATCTCTGTGATATTATTCAAGTCGCGTCATGAGTATCGCGTCACGTCAGATTCGAGCGTTGACACACAGCATCAGGAAGAGGAATGAAGAATGAATAGCGTAACTTTCATCTTTAGCGTTGATCATCTTATGCATCGATCGTCGTCTATAATCTCTATATCGTCGAATGTTTCAAACAGCGTTTACTTTTGCCGCTCTGTGGCGATGTTGTGACGTATAGAGTACCGAAGTGTGACGTGACGTTGTCACGACAACGTACGGGCTGGTTCTACACAATCCACTGGCTCCATAACATTAAAGGCATAATAGGCCCATCGATTATGCAATTTTAACAAATGCTAGAGTAACTGGCACCTTGTGTAGTTAATAAGTACATTACCTTATAGCCAAACGCGTATTAGTTTGTCCAATATCACTGCTGGTTACTAAGAAATGTCTAATTGAAATCCGCAGTCCACGAAATCAGTTGACTGACTTGTTTACAGTTTCGAAACCGCATACTTCGAAACGGGTGTGATACAGATTTATAGTCCACCGGACATTTTCGCGCGCATGCAAAAACGCACGCACGCATGCATTTTCGCTCGGCCGTACGCAATGCTAGCGATAGTACAGTACCGTAACTGTATACGTAACAGTAGCTCTGATTGTAATGAACGTGGAATCCACGTACGAATCACGGACGCTCGTGATAATGAAGTAGGCTGTGTTGGGAGCCAACGCTATGGGAGGATCGCGGACTAACCACGGCCACAGACTAAACATGGAAAGCAGACGGCACTACGCGTATTTACGTATATTGGTCAAACGAATACACCTGTGTCTGAAATTGAAGACATGTGGGTACCCGTTCATTAGCACCCACGATTATTTACTTGAGCCTCAATACCGAGAATACACCCAGAGATACATTCTACTAGCTCATTAGTCGTATATAAGCATCCCGGGACAAACAATTCTCTGCTAAACACCCGTAGCGACATGTGACGTTGCCTAACCGAATTCGAGGCTATTTTGCTTGGCAACCAATTTAGCGTTGGCGCCAGATGACCAGATTTACGGATTTCAATTAGACATTTCTTAGTCATTAGCAGTGATATTGGACAAACTAATACGCGTTTGACTATAAGGTAATGTACTTGTTAACTACAGAAGGTGCCAGTTACTGTAGCATTCGTCAACTTTGTATAATCAATGGGCCTATTATGCCTTTAACTGCGTGAAAATGTTGTGCGTACGTAAAACACGAGTGTGTGCGCTGCAGACAGCGGTAAAGCATCGGTAGCAAGTCGATCTTACAATATTTAATGAATTTAAACAAAAATTTAATTTTAATTTTTAAATTTTTGTTTTCTGAATTTTTTTTTTGTTTTGTTGCTTTTCACTTCCATTCTTTGGAAATCTATAAAAACTGCAATAATGACTCTCAGAATGATGGTTACAATCGGGTACAAAACACGACACGCAGTTAATGTTACCAGAGCATATGATTGTGTAGAACCAGTAGGTTCGTTGTCATGCCACCGTGACGTCATCACTTCGGTACTCTATAGAAAATTAACAACAACAAAATTAAAAAATAAAAATTTTTTAATTTTTTTTAATTCATTAAATATTGTAAGATCGACTTGCTACCGATGCTTTACCGCTGTCTGCAGCGCACACACTCGTGTTTTACGTACGCACAACATTTTCACGCAGTTAATGTTATGGAGCCAGTGGCTTGTGTAGAACCAGCCCGTACGTTGTCTTGCCAACGTGACGTCACACTTCGGTACTCTATTAGTTTCGCGGGACCGAGCGGCATGAATGGCAAAAGCTTTCATGCTGAAAATAGCTAACACTGTTCGACGCTCATTAGCATGGTAGCGCCTTTACGCTGGCGCGTGCAAAGTCGTGTTCTGTTTCGGTTTATCTCACCTACTCAACTCCTTATTGTGATGACGCGCGCATGACAAAGTCACTGACGTTGTTGTCTATGCACGCGAAAAGAAGAAGAAAAGCTCCATCCACGTCATCGATTCATTATTCGATCAGGTTTCGAGTAGAGAGCGCGCTTGCTCGTCACAGCTGATGCTCGACTGAGCGCCACACCGCCCACGCGCGTGGACCGCACACTACTGGCTGCTTGTCACCGACAGGCGGACGCGCTTGCGAATAGAGGCTGCAAACAGACACGCGATCTATTGCGCATTCATTACGCTCGTGTCTCTCGTTTTCCGCGAAGCAAAAACACGTCGGCACGATAAACGACGGCGGGCCGACTCCCAGGTACTTCTGCGCAGCGGGAGCAAAGACTTTGCACGCACGCACGCACGCACGAGCGCACGCACGCACGTACGCTCGCACGTTATATGGTTGTCGTCATCTCGCCGGCATCACTCAGCGGCCGTCCTTGCAGCAGTCGACCTCGTCACGCGCAGCTCGACTGAAGACTACGGCTCCAACGGAAAACAGTGAGCACTGAACGCCGACCACTGTGAAAGGTAAGGTCCTGTAGGTGATTAGATTAGGTACATTACATAGCCGCATCTATGTCGCTGTGTAGCCCGAGAGATTATATGGCCAGCGCGTCACAGGTGGGTTCTCTGTGAACAGCTGCTATGCAACTCGACGCGATATCGCGTTTTTATAGATATATAATAAATATGTGGGTTTCTCTATCGGATGCATTCGCCTCGATAGCACTAAGTAGTAGAGTGTATGCGACTTCTCACCTAAAACGTTCATGTATATAGGTTGAGCAAGGCAATGGCATATCAAGTGTGTAAGAGTCTCGGTACTCGTCAGTTCGCACATAGTGCCTGCCTCTAACCGCGAGCATACGCGTGTAGTCTTAGTTCGTACACGTGTTCGCATTCCTGCTTTCACCGACGGGGCACATGGTTTGTCACGCATACATAGCCAGTAGAGAAACAGTTATTGGCTTTATTATTTTGATCAGTTACGCGCATGAGTTAAGAACGGGCTCAAATAATAAATCCCACGTCTCATCGCTAGGAACTGAAAGTACATCATGATTAAACGTAGTAAACAGGAAGATAAATGTGCTCTTTTGGTATTATGCGAGCATTTGATAACATAAGACACTTTTGGGAAGCATTCTACATGAATTTGATATGTTTATGAATAGAACGTTATCACTCATCAGTGTTAAGCTCCTTATCGCGCCATCACCCTCCACCAGTATCCGACTCATCGCGCGCCTCTGCCTCATTGCTATCAAGCTCATGTATAATCCCTCTCTTCCGATAACATGCTGTTCTCAAATATTTTATTATCTGACTTTGTGCGCATGTCAAGCCTTTCTCCCGCAGTATAACACCTTGGTCACGAGCTGCTTATACACCATCCTCCTGTGGTTACGTCCCCCTATCGACGTGTGCGTGTACGTAGGTGGGTGTGTGCGCGTCACAGCATGTGTGTATGCGTTTTATTGTGTGCACGCGCGTTCGTGCGTGCGTGCGTGCATACGCGTATGGATGCGTTCTTGCGTAATGAGGACGTGTTGTACGCTTATGTGCGTGTGGGTGCGTGTACTCGTGTACCTGTGTGCGCGTGTGCGTGTGTGCGTGTGAGCGCGCGCGTGTGTGCTCGCGCGGGGGCATGTGTATGTTGATATTGTTGTTGTTGTTGTTGTTGTTGTTGTTGTTGTTGTTGCTGCTGATGTTGTTATTGTTGACGACGATAATGATGGTAATGATGACGATGATAATGCGTGCTGTATGTATGTGTGTGTACACACGCACGCGCGCGTGTTTGTTTCTGTTCGTGTATGCGCGCGCACATGTGCTGTGTTCATACGTCTTTATATCTGTCTGCCTGTTTGATTGTCCATCCGTCTGTCTGTCTGTCTGTCTGTCTGTCTGTCTGTCTGTCCGTCCGTCCGTCCGTCCGTCCGTCCGTCCGTCCTGTGCGTCCGTCCGTCCGTACACCCGCTCGCCCGCCCGCCCGTCCGTCCGTCCGTCCGTCCGTCCGTCCGTCCGTACACCCGCTCGCCCGCCCGCCCGACCCGCCCGACCCTTCCGCCCGCCCGCCCGCCTGCCTGTCTGTTTGTTTGTCTGTCTGTCTCTCTGTTTATCTGTCTGTTTGTCTGTCTGTGCTCCGTCCGTCCCGTCTGTCTGTCTGTTTGTCTGTCTGTCTGTCTATCTGTCTGTCTGTCTGTCTGTCTGTCTTGTCTGTCTGTCTTGTCTGTCTGTCTGTCTGTACTGTCTGTCTGTCTGTCTGTCTCCCCCCCCCGTTCTGTCTGTCTGTCTGTTCGTTCCGTCCGTCCGTCCGTCCGTCGTCCGTTCGTCCGTCCGTCTGTCTGTCTGTCTGTCTGCTGTCCGTCTTCCGCTCTGCCGTGTCTATCTGTCTGTCTGTAATGTCTGTCATGTCTGTTCTGTCTGTCTGTCTTGTCTGTCTGTCTGTCTGTCTGTCTGTCTATCTGTTGTTGTCTGTGTGTCTGTGTGGTGCTGTCTGTGTGTCTGTCTGTGTGTCTGTCTGTTCTGTCTGTCTGTCTGTCTGTCTGTCTGTCTGTCTGTCTGTCTGTCTGTCTGTCTGTCTGTCTGCTCTGTCTGTACGGTCTGTCGCCTGTCTGTCTGTCTGCATTTGTGTATACGCGCGTGTCTGTGTATGGGATGATGGTATTTACGAAACTGACAGCACGTGATATAACAATATCAGGAGTGAAATAATAATAGATCTATTATTATTCAAACCTGACAATCTCATGATACACATAGGCGTCAATATCCAGAATAAACGACGCATTTCACGGCAGTAAAATAGAGGGAAATCGTTCCACGACTGATTAAGGTCGCTTATGTGTAGCGTATTAGACAAGGATTGCGTTCTAGTCGGCTAATATAACCGTGTATTAATTCCATTGCAAACATTCGTGACGTGGCCACACGTATCGGTGCACTCGCGCTGTCCGTCCATTATAGTTGCTGGCGACCTCTCAAAGGGTATTAATATCGGATTATTCTATGGGGAATGTTTAATCGGGTAACATCATACAGTGCATATATACATACTAACATTCGCAAAGGGTCATTAAACAGGTGGTCAGATGGTCGTTTACTATCCCACTTTACTGGTTGTGACAATTCATCATCGTAGCGCGCTCTATTATATATAGGTTATAAATAACACTGCGCATCTCTAATGTCAATTGTATCTATAAAGCTTTCCGCCCTTCTTGCAAAACTATTTAAATATTAGTCAATTATAGTAAAATTCTTTTTTAATTCATCGATATAATCATTGACATACTCGGGCATCTAATATACCTATTGAATGTGTAACTTTCCTACATATATATATATATTATATATATATTATATATAATATATATATAGTATATGTTGTAATACGTGTATATGTTTAGGAAAAGTATCACATTTAATTTTTATATGGTTTCACAGCCATGTGTGTGTTATGACTGTAACAATACAGCATTGTTATTGATGCAGAGTTTACCTACCACGTTAAATATAAATATAAATTAATATTGTCCCCTAAAACCCAATGTTACCGCTGATCGATGCTTCCATCTAGCACGAACACTGTTTTCCCAACCTATGCGTCGCTACGATGTGAGACAAAGGGTTAGACCTAGTGCGACGATAAATTTATAACAACCTAAAAGATAAAAAATACACGCAGAATGTATTAAAAGCCTTCGTGAAGAGTCCCTGCCAGAGGTGTTTGTTGACTATTTGGTTGGGCGATAGTTTTGACGGAATAGAGGGATTTTCGCAAACCTTGCACAGTTGGATCTATTTCTCTAAATGTAATTATATGCATGTATATGAGAAAAACGATTGAGAATGAGGCTGATCTGAGTGTTCAAGGTAACATGTCTGTTCGTGGCTTATTGAGTTAGGCCTACTCATATAAATCATTAGGTAGGGTAGTGAATGTGAAATTGTCATTGTTCTCTTTTGCCATGCCCCATGTCATAACGTCTCGTTGTATTATTAATACTTAATTTACAAATACAACAAACAATTATTACCTGTTTGCACGCAGCAACGTAGAGACCCAAATTCCAATGTTTGCCCGATACCGAGACAAGTTATTTTCCAAGTCCACAAAACTTCATGTTTCCTTACAGTAAGGCAATATTACCAGGGTAATTTGTCTGTTGTGGAACGCCAAAACAATAGAACAGTATTCCACATGCATGGGCCTACATACATAAGATAGCATACGATAAGCACTTGATGTAGATGATTAAAAAACATAAAAACTGCGCTAAAAACTCAACGTACACAGTGAGCGCTGCGTTACTTTAAACATCACAATATAATAGATCATCTAATACATAGTCACAGCTAGAGAGATAGCAGTGAAATATACGCCTTTACATCAATCTTTGCGAATAACCAAAAAATTGAGCCAAAATCGCAGAAACAGTTGCCAGCGTACATCTATTATTGGGCCTCGCAGGGAATTTTTATTGCCAGATCGCAGTTTTTTAAATGACACCTTTTTTTACTTCGTTAAGATTTACTAGCATCTAATATACTGTCATCGACAAACTGATTAATGTGCGCGATACACCAAATTACGAAGTCAGCCAATGTCGTTCTATGAAAATGCTATATAGATAAGCGATGGCGCAGCTTCCGCCCTAGCCTCGCCAGTGGACAAGCTCCTCAGTAGAGTGTAGTACGATGACCGCAATGTATGGCGCGGTAAACACACGAGTCGTGCGAATAATTCTTTTTTACAAGATTAAGTCACAGTGACGATAAAATATGTGTTATTATACACGCAATTGTGCGTACAAAAACACGTTAAAACGTTTTATCTAGCGAAGCCAAACAGACCGCCAGCCTACGCGCAGGTGTGC